TCCAATCTACATTAAGTGTAAGGAGGATCGCTTTAGTTAGCATCGTAGATAGGTTAACATTAATTTAGAGAAATATTTTGTAAAGATGTTTGATGTAACTCATATATCATATATATACAAATTAATAAAGACTTGCATCTAATGCTCTTTTACGATAAAAAATAAAAATAAAAATAATTAATAAACTTATCTTAATAAAATACTTGGTGTCTAAAGAATCCAGTGATAATCAATATCATGTCTATTGGTAAAGAATTGAGTCACAATAACAAATGGAAAGAAAGAAATTTAGAAAATTGTCATGCTAACAAATAACTTTGATATTGCAGGTTATATAATCCCAAATGATAGTCAATGGCAAGCTTAGTTCTGAAGTAGCAACAGACTTGTCAGTGTTAATAACAATAGTTAAATCTTTAGCCTAGACTATTTTAATTTGATACAATGCTTAAATAGTTTATTAACTACAGGTAATAAGAATTACTATAGCTTATATATATTATATATATAAAGATATAAGATTTAAATAAAAGATAATGAAAATAATTAAATCAATTTTTTTAATCAAGATTTCTTTTTTTAAACTGGATCAAGAACAAGTTTAAGTAGTTTAAACTAATGGTATAACTTTTATCATCTATTAATCTGTTCTTGATATTACTGAAGATAAAATGTTATGCATTAAAATCAAGATACTAGGAAAAGGTATAATATATAGAATATTATATATAAAATAATATATAGTTATTGACTTGTATAAATTCTTAAAATGTAGTTTTAATATTACTATATAATGTAATATAATATAATATATATTAATAAACATATATGTTCAATTGTACTTAGTTTACCTAAAAACAAAAACTAAAAATTATAACTTATTATAAATTAATTGATTTAATTATAATAAACAAATATCTTGATAAAAAAATGCTGATTCTACTTTTATAGGCAATTTTTTATGATTTTATAGTTATTAAAATCTTTACAAAACATTAATTGACTTTAAAAATCATAACATATATATATGATATAGTCTTTTCAAGTCACAATATAATATTACTTTAGGCTGCTACAATTCTTTTTGTTTCTTTTTTCTTTTTCAATTTTATCAAATACAATAAAAAAAAACAAACCTTATTATTAACTTTAGTATCAAAAATTCTAAAAAATATATTTTTACTTATTAAGAATAAATAAATCTTCTTCAAATATTATAATAATAGCATCAAATATCTAAAAATTTATCTCTCTAATAAATCAACCATCTGCTTTATCAAAATGAAACTGTATAAAAATATTTTCAACTTATAGTCTTACAAATAGACTCAAATAATCTTATCAGCTATCAAGTATTATATTGGATTGTATTAATTCAACTAGATTATATCATATACTATGTCTTAATCCTATAAAACAACAATATCAATTTATTACAAACAAAAATAAACGTGATAAAACGTCCTTGAAAAATTTTGTGGGGATTTCTCTTTTTCGGAAAAGAAAAAAGTATTTTACATGTAGTTGTCAAGATTTTCACCGAAATATGAACGATGTATAATATTTAACAATATTCAGTATAATAAAAGCCCAAATGTTAGTTTACTTTATAAAATTTTAATTTCGTGATGTTGCAGTGCAAAATTCGCAAAAATTTTATATTTTGGTGGCAAATACAAGAATCCGTTTAGCAAAAATATTTTTTTTCAGCTCCTGAATTTTTATATAAAGGTATAATTATTTTGGGATGTATATATTGCATCGAGCATTAATGAGTTTTCTTAAACTTATTGATAAAGTTCGACTAAATTTATTTTTTGTTCGATAGATAAAAAAAAATGAATAATCAGCCGAATATAATTTTAATTAAATCAACCATATACATTATTAAGAATATGTATATAAGATTCAAAGGTAATATATAAAATAAGGTAAAACCCAGAAAATGTTAAAGAAATAAAATCTATCCTTTCTCGTAAAATAAAATTATTATTTCGCAACGCAAATGTCAATATATATAACGACACCTCTTAAAAAAGAATATTAATTCCTTTATTCTTGATTTTCTGAATTAAACCCGACGCCTCATACATATCTACCGTAGTTTCTATCACAACGGTTTTCAATGCATTATACTGAGCATAGTGCTCAATTACCTTAAGGTAATCAAGAGAATGACCGTCAATGTACTTAATATATAAAGTCTCCAACGTATTAAGTGATGATTTACTATAGTCGAGTAGAAATTTTCCGAGACACTCCGGTCTAAAATGACAATGAAGATATAATTTTTCTAAACTGGAAGGAACATGCTTTCCCAAAGCAATTAATAGTTCGTCTGATCTACAGTGAGATTTAATGATTAATTGGCTTATATTGGACCCTTTTAAGTAATCCATAAATATACTGCAGTCTTGCCACATATCTAATAACGAAAATTTGGATATGTTTGGACAGAATCGAGACAATGGCGTCATTAATTTTTCGGATACCCTGTCAGTGTGCAAGTTTAACAAATTTTTGCCTGCTTTTTCGATAAATGTAGCTAAAAGTGTATCATTTACGAATTGATAGGTGTCAATAGTTAAACTCTTGAGTTTAATTGACGATTGCATAAACATCTCACAGTTTCCCTTCGTAGCCCCATAGCAACTATATATTTCCATGGATTCCAGCTTTGTATACTTCGCAATGCTATTCAGACTAATGACTGAGAAATCGATAAAGTGCAAGGAAAGCGAAGTTAGGGACTCCTTCTGAAAATCTAAATGACTTATAAATCTCCTTTGGTAGTTTTTTATATGAGTTTCTATCAAAAAATTCTTTAGATTAGACTGTGCGGTTATGATATCAGCCAACGCGTCCACTGTTTCAGAATCTAGATCTTGTTTAACCCTATATTCTAGTCTTTGAAGATTGATACATAATTTTGATAAATTTCTTAATGACTCCTTGAGATATGAACTTTTCTTAATATGTATTGTCAAATTGCGTAATTGTGAGAATCTGTATTGATAGGAAGAAAATGAAATGACTTTCGAAATATTGTAAATAAATTGTTCGCCATTCCGACCATAATAATCGAAGATTTCAATCTCTCTTAAACAACTAGTTCTCATGACCAAATAAAAAATGGCAGTCATGATTTTTTCGAGCCTTTCGATGCGTATTTTTTTAAACAGATTAACAGACTTATTGCGTCTTTTCCATCCTTCTACTATTATTTTTGCGATATCTGCAAATGGAAATATTTTTAAATGCGAAGAATACTGAAATAATGGTTGCGGATGGTTGTAGCGTCTATCATACGGGTGTAGGATTTCCTTTTCAACTT